GGCTGTCGGCATCTCCCGATGAACTGCCGGAGATGAATGCCCATTACTGAGGGTGGGCTTATTGAAGACCTGTGGCTTTTCAGGCTTTTTGCTACGCGCTGACAGCCTCTCCAGGTAGCCCCAGCAGGCCTCAACAGTAATCCAGGGGGCGGTTTCGACACCCCGGCGCCACCTCCGGCGGCGCCCTTTGGGCGTTCGGCGCCCCAGGGTTGAGGTATGGACCGCCCCGAAGTTTTTACCGGGGGGGCCTGTTGAGGCCAGTGGGGACTAAGCGGGAGGGCTGCTCGTGCGTAGCCAAAGGCCTTAGCAGTCCTGCGAGATGGCCCGGTGTTGACTGCCGCACGCAGGTCATCCTCTGCTGGCGGGTCGGGGTTGGCCTTTGGGGGGCGCCAGGGGCGATGCCCACAGCTCAGCGGCGGCGGCTGCCCCTTCTTCGCCCCTGCAGGAGGGGTGCCGCCGCCTCCGCGGAGGACGCCGACTTCGACGAGCTCTGGGAGGCATCCCGAGGGTGTCCGCGGGCTCAGTCGGCCCTGCTGCGCTTCACCACCTACCGAACCACCCCGAACCCAACCCGAAGGCCTCAATTTGCCCGCGATTCCCAGTGGGGGGGGGGGGCGACGGAAATCGTTGAAAGAGCACATGTTGAATCCGTACACCCCCGGATTCCGAAATTTGTGTCTTCGGGTGGGTTTGGGGTTGTCGGTCATCAGGAGGAGAAAAAACACACAGACACAGTTAATCGTCGATTCCCCAGACAATGATCCCAGTGCGACCCTACCCAGGAGTTGGAGCATCTAGGAAAGCAACATCTACATCTACACCGACAGCTACATCAACGTCTACACCTGCATCTACATCTACATCAACATCAACAGCGAGACTCATATCTACATGTTCACCTACATCTACACCTACATGTCATGCTATGTTATGCTATGCTGCGCCATGATATGCTATGATATACTGCGCTATGCTATGCGATGCTATGCGATGATATGCTGCGCTATGATATGCTATGGTAGTATATGCTTGATGTGATAGAAAATGATGTGTTATGCTAAGCTAAGCTATGGTATGGTAAAATATGATACGACATGCTATGCTACGACATGTTATGATATGATATGAGATGCTGCGCTATGCTATGTTGCGGTATGCTATGATATGCTATGATATATTGTACTATGTTGTGCTATGTGAATGCTGCGCTAAGCTAAGTTCAGCTAAGTTAAGCTAAGCGAAGCTAACCTAAGCTAAGCTAAGCTAAGCTAGGCTAAGCTAGCCTAGGCTAGGCTAGGGTAATCTAAACTAAGCTAAGCTAAGCTAAGGTAAGGTAAGCTAAGCTAAGCTAAGCTGAGCTAGGTTAAGCTAAGATGAGATAAGCAACGCTAAGCTAAGGGGACGTCACTGGGGTAACCACGGGGCGGATGCCGGGGGAAGCGCTCGGGGACATTTACATTGCCCGGCCCTTTTAAGCAAACCGGGTAAGAACCCTCCCAGGCAGAGCCCAGGTAGGGAATAAGGGAACATATGAGCAGTGGGTGGGAAGACAGAAACCCAGAAACTATGGGAAACGATGGGGAATCCTTTTTTTTGTGTGTATTTATTTGTATGTCCCAGGGCCCCTTCAGGTCAGCTAGTCAGCGTCGACGTCGCCTGCGTGCGGTCGGCTCGGGTCGGTCGGTGGTCTTGCCAGTGCCGCGTCGCCGCGCCCTGCTTTCGGGGGCTGACCCAAATGGGGGATGAAGAAAAATACTTCTTTGGGGCATTTTTCTTCAGGTCCCATTGTATCGGGGGGTGGACAGACCTCCTACCCTGACACGTCGATTAGTGAAGTGTTCGTTTTCGGTTCTCGAGAGGGCGCCGCGGCCGTCATTTTCCAAGCTTGCGCCCGCCAGATTTGGGCCCGAGGTCGTTGTCACTAAACCACGTTTTACTAAAGGGGGGTCTGTCCATCCCAGATTGTAGGGGAACGAAAAATAACATACACAAAACTCAGAGGTCCGCGCGGGTTTCTTGGATCCGCGCTGGACAACCCTCGGCGCCAGAGGCGCCGCCAGGGGGTCCCAGCGCCGATCCGAGAAATCCGCGCGGACCTCCGAGTTGGTATGTTAATGTCATTGCTGGTTCCCCTAATTGCTACCCGCCGGTTTCCTAAGGCTCGTCCTCCTCCTCCCCCCCCTCCTCCTCCTCCTCCTCCTTCTCCTCCTCCGACTCGTCGTCCTCCTTCCCCTCCTCCCACTCCTCCTCTTCCTCCTCCTCCTCCTCCTCCTTCTCCTCCCCCTCCTCCTCCGCCTCCCGCTCATCGCCCTCCTCCTGCGGCCTGTCGGCCTCGCTCGGGTGGGGTGTCGCGGTCGGCTGTCGGTCGGCTGGCGCCCGCCCATGGGCGGCCCCCGCACCTGCGGCGCAGCAGTAGTTGGCACGCCGATGCCTCGCCTGGCGAGGGCCACCAGGGGCTCTTTGGGTCGGGAGCCTTGAGACGGGGGTCAATGCAGACGGGGGTCAGCCAGGGCACCAGATCCTTCAGGATCCTGCGAAGATCCCCTCTGGCTGACCCGGGTGAGCGAGCCGCTCGTGGCCGCGAGGCGGCCGCGCATATTGGCTGACCCGGGTTTGCGAAGACCTGCGTTGCAGTTGTTTGTCCTGCATTGTGGTTTTTGGTTTCCTGCTGACCTGGGTCTGGATTGACCCGGGTCAGAAGATCCCCGATTGGGGTCAAGTCGGGCTTGCCCTTCTACAGGAGGAGTATGCCAAAATAGTAAAAACAAATGTCTGGGGCTATGATGCTCCAACCTACTTTAACCCAGATCACCACACAGAAAAAATGTCGAACACCCGGAAAGTACCGAAACTTGAGGGTGGACGTGTCGGGCCCTGGGAGGCGACACTCGTTCGACACTGTTTCGACACTTTTCTGGGTGCTCGAAATGATTTCTGGGAGATGGTCGTACGATGGAAACAACATTCAACAGGAGGAACATTCAACAGTCAAAAAATAGTCTGGTGACGTTTTTGGAGTATTTCTGGCTATGTTGGAGCATGTAGGAGGACATGCCCGACCTAAACTAACTTCGGGGTCGGGGTTCGCAAACGGGGGTCAGCCAGAGGGCTGGATCTTGTAGGATCCTGCAGGGCTAGGGGTGCATTGACCCGGGCTTGGGCTCAGCATCCTGCAGGATCTTGCAAGGCCCGATTGACCCCGGTTTGGGTTGACCCGGGTCTGGAGGTCCCTGAGTGGGATTTTTCCGCAGGTTTGTGCCAGGGACGTTTGCCTGGCGGGCGCTGTACGCGAAGGGACGTTTGCCTGGCATGTCGCGCCGCCGCCTTGGGCATCCTGGGCCCTTTTGGGACCCCCCCGCAGAGTTGGGCAGGGAGGTTGTACCGGCAGGGACGTTTGCCTGGCGTGACGCGCCGCCGGCTGTTTTGTACCGCTGCCGCTCTCCCGTTCTCGTTTTCGGCTTTCTGGGCCTCGTCGGAGGCCCGCGTCGCTTCCGCTGGATTCGTCTCATGTGATGGGTTCATTTTCCACCACCGCCACCATAAGTAGGAGGGGGATGGGGTCCTCCTCCCCCTCCTCCTCCCCTTCCCCCTCCTCCTCCTCATCCTCCACCTCCCCCCCCTCCAACTTATTGCGGTGGAGGTGGTGGTGGAACGCAAGGCAATCATCGTAGAGTATTTGGTCAGATTGCACACGTAAGAGGTCGAGGGCGTAGCGGTAGTTGTGCCTCTGTGTCCGCCTGTTTTTGCCCCACCGCGCTTCGGCGCGACTCGTGAAGCTCGGCGCTTCTGAACTCCTCTTTCCCGCCTCCCGCACCACGACGCAGAGCGACACGCCATCAGCTTTAAGTCGGGCTTGTCCCTCTACAGGGGGAAGATCCCAAAATAATAAAAACATATGAGGGGGACGATGTTTAGCATTTACCTAACATCAGCTTGCACAACATGTCCTGTCACCTTGGCATCGCCAGGCCGTGCTCTGTTGTGTTTCCCTTTCTCGGCAGGGAGCATCGCGGAGTGTCTTGGCTCATCCTGCGGGAGAGAAGCGCACGACGCCGACACCTCCACGGGGAATTGGACGCCGAAGCGAACTGCACGTCGCAGAGGCCTCCGCCGCGGCACGCCAGGCGAAGCTCCTTCGCCGCACCACCTTCGGGGCCCCAGGCCGGCCCTGGCCGGGGCCGACCCGGGCCGGCGCTGGCGCATCGTTGCCGTTGCCCGACAGTCGGGTATAGCCAGGACCCCAGGTAAGGGGACCCAGTTGGTGGTAGGGCCCTGCACCATGGGGCCCCCCAATTCAGGAGCGAAAGAAGGACGTACACGTACATGAATCCACGCTGGTTTCGAGAGTACGCATTGCCCGAAAGTTCGTATCACGCGGCCGGTCTCGCGGATCGAGGGGCCGTGTTCATGTACATAGCTGGGCGCGTACGTCCTTTGTGGGCTCCCTATCATTTGGCCAGATTCACTAATTACGCTACCGAGGAACCCCACATACTGATTTTTAATATTATGTGTTTGCTTGTCATTACCATCTTTGCGCAATCCTGCGTTCTAAACCCTCGTCGCGAATCGTCGTCGTACTTGTCGTACTCGTCGTCGTACTCGTCGTACTCGTCGTCGTACTCGTCGTACTACTATCGTCTTACTCGTCATCGTACTCGTCGTCGTACCTCGCCATCGTACTCGTCTTCGCATTCGTCGTCGTGCTCGTCGCACTCGTCGTCGCACTCCTCGTCGTCGTACTCGTTGTGCTCGTAGTGCTCGTCGTACTCGTCGCCGCACTCGTGGTCATCGTCGTCGTCGTCGTCCTCCTCCTCCTCGCCCCACCCAATCCTCTCAACTCCTCCGCACTCCTCTCAATTCCTCCGTACTTCCCTCAACTCCTCCGCACCCCTCTCAACTCATCCTCTCACCTCCTTCTGTACTCATCTTGCTGCACTCCTCCGCACTCCTCTCAACTCCTCCTCCCAACTCCTCCACACTCGTTTCATTCACCTCGGCGCCCATCTCGAGCATTGATTCCTTGAGCTGCTCGCACGGCGGTGGCAGCGCGACCATGGCGCATTTGGGCGCCATGACGGGGGCCGTACCTTTGACGGAAAGTCACTAGCAGTCGCCCGCGATCACATATCGCGCGGTCTGAGCCAACATGAGCCAGGGTGACTACAATTCTTGATGATGAAAATGCTGATGATGTTGATGATGATGATGATGGCGCCCCCCCCTGATTGCGTACCCATGTAGCCTCAAGAACAAGTGACGCGCGCTACGCCCTGGTAGACTCCACCCCCTGCGCACCCCTCATGGTGTCGAGAAACTACACGCCTGCTATGCCTGGACGACTGGGGCGTATAGAGACCGCGGTGAGAGACCACCCCCTGCGCACCCCCTTTGGTGTCGAGAAAGCGCCACGCCTGCTATGCCTGGACGACTGGGGCGTATTGAGACCGCGGTGAGAGACCACCCCCTGCGCACCCCCTGTGGTGTCGAGAAAGTGCCACGCCTGCTATGCCTGGACGACTGGGGCGTATAGAGACCGCGGTGAGAGACCACCCCCTGCGCACCCCCTGTGGTGTCGAGAAAGTGCCACGCCTGCTATGCCTGGACGACTGGGGCGTATAGAGACCGCGGTGAGAGACCACCCCCTGCGCACCCCCTGTGGTGTCGAGAAAGTGCCACGCCTGCTATGCCTGGACGACTGGGGCGTATAGAGACCGCGGTGAGAGACCACCCCCTGCGCACCCCCTGTGGTGTCGAGAAAGTGCCACGCCTGCTATGCCTGGACGACCTGGGGCGTATAGAGACCGCGGTGGAGACCACCCCCTGCGCACCCCCTGTGGTGTCGAGAAAGTGCCACGCCTGCTATGCCTGGACGAGTGGCGTATAGAGACCGCGGTGAGAGACCACCCCCTGCGCACCCCCTGTGGTGTCGAGAAAGTGCCACGCCTGCTATGCCTGGACGACTGGGGCGTATAGAGACCGCGGTGAGAGACCACCCCTGCGCACCCCCTGTGGTGTCGAGAAAGTGCCACGCCTGCTATGCCTGGACGACTGGGGCGTATAGAGACCGCGGTGAGAGACCACCCCCTGCGCACCCCCTGTGGTGTCGAGAAAGTGCCACGCCTGCTATGCCTGGACGACTGGGGCGTATAGAGACCGCGGTGAGAGACCACCCCCTGCGCACCCCCTGTGGTGTCGAGAAAGTGCCACGCCTGCTATGCCTGGACGACTGGGGCGCATAAGACCGCGGTGACCACCCAGCGCACCCCCTTGTGGTGTCGAGAATTGCCACGCCTGCTGTGCCTGGACGACCGTCGTGCTAGCGGCCGAGCTATGCGCACCCCCTATGGTGTGTGCCACGCATGCGCCTGAGGGCGTATAGAGACCGCGGTGAAGGACCCCCCTGCGCGCCCCCTGTGGTGCGAGAAAGTGCCACGCCTGCTATGCCTACGACGCTGCGTTATAGGCCGCGACCACCCCCTGCGCACCCCCTGTGGTGTCGAGAAATGCCACGCCTGCTAGGCTTTGCGACAGTGTCGTGGATAGCGGCCGAGCTGAGAGACCACCCCTGCGCACCCTCTGTGGTGTCGAGAAAGTGCCACGCTGCTAGGCCCGACTGATAGAGGCCGGGGTGAGAGACACCCCCGAAAAACCCCTTTGGTGTCGAGGAGTGCCACGCCTGCTTGCCTGGACGATGGGCGTATAGATACCGCTGTGAAAGACCACCCCCTGCGCACCCCCTGTGGTGTCGAGAAAGTGCCACGCCTGCTATGCCTGGACGACTGGGGCGTATAGAGACCGCGGTGAGAGACCACCCCCTGCGCACCCCCTGTGGTGTCGAGAAAGTGCCACGCCTGCTATGCCTGGACGACTGGGGCGTATAGAGACCGCGGTGAGAGACCACCCCCTGCGCACCCCCTGTGGTGTCGAGAAAGTGCCACGCCTGCTATGCCTGGACGACTGGGGCGTATAGAGACCGCGGTGAGAGACCACCCCCTGCGCACCCCCTATGGTGTCGAGAAAGTGCCACGCCTGCTGTGCCTGGACGACTGGGGCGTATAGAGACCGCGGTGAGAGACCACCCCCTGCGCACCCCATATGGTGTTGAGAAAGTGCCACGCCTGCTGTGCCTGGACGACTGGGGCGTATAGAGACCGCGGTGAAGTCGCACCCCCTATGGTGCCGAGAAATGCCACGCCTTATGCCTGGGCGACTGGGGCGATAGAGACCGCGTGAGAGACCACCCCCTGCGCACCCCCTGTGGTGTCGAGAAAGTGCCACGCCTGCTATGCCTTGGGCGACTGGGGCGTATAGAGACCGCGGTGAGAGACCACCCCCTGCGCACCCCCTGTGGTGTCGAGAAAGTGCCACGCCTGCTATGCCTGGGCGACTGGGCGTATAGAGACCGCAGTGAGAGACCACCCCCTGCGCACCCCCTGTGGTGTCGAGAAAGTCCACGCCTGCTATGCCTGGGCGACTGGGGCGTATAGAGACCGCGGTGAGAGACCACCCCCTGCGCACCCCCTGTGGTGTCGAGAAAGTGCCCACACCGGCTATGCTTGGACGACTGGGGCGTATAGAGACCGCGGTGAGAGACCACCCCCTGCGCACCCCCTTGTGGTGGCGAGAAAGTGCCACGCCTGCTATGCCTGGACGACTGGGGCGTATAGAGACCGCGGTGAGAGACCACCCCCTGCGCACCCCCTGTGGTGTCGAGAAAGTGCCACGCCTGCTATGCCTGGGCGACTGGGGCGTACAGAGACCGCGGTGAGAGACCACCCCCTGCGCACCCCCTGTGGTGTCGAGAAAGTGCCACGCCTGCTATTAGGCGACGAGCCCAGAGGGGGAAGTGAGAAGGAGAAGGCCTTTTCAGAAGGCCGCGGGACTTCTTAGAAGTCCGGGGGGCTTCTGAGACGTTTCCTTGGCCTGTTTCGAAGACAGACAGAACTTCTCAGAAGCCTTCTCAGAAGTCCAGAAACTTCTCAGAAGCCTCGGAAGTCCCGCCCCTTCTCATTTCCCCCCCGCGCCCGCCGCGAGTGCTATGCCTGGACGGCTGGGGCGTATAGAGACCGCGGTGAGAGACCACCCCCTGCGCACCCCCTGTGGTGTCGAGAAAGGTGCCACGCCTGCTATGCCTGGACGACTGGGGCGTATAGAGACCGCGGTGAGAGACCACCCCTGCGCACCCCCTGTGGTGTCGAGAAAGTGCCACGCCTGCTATGCCTGGACGACTGGGGCGTATAGAGACCGCGGTGAGAGACCACCCCCTGCGCACCCCCTGTGGTGTCGAGAAAGTGCCACGCCTGCTATGCCTGGGCGACTGGGGCGTATAGAGACCGCGGTGAGAGACCACCCCCTGCGCACCCCCTGTGGTGTCGAGAAAGTGACGCCTGCTATGCCTGACGACTGGGCCTGACCGCGGGGGAGACCACCCCCTGCGCACCCCCTGTGGTGTCGAGAAAGTGCCACGCCTGCTATGCCTGGACGACTGGGGCGTGTTGAGACCGCGGAGAGAGACCACCCCCTGCGCACCCCTGCGGTGTCGAGAAGGTGCCACGCCTGCTATGCCTGGGCGACTGGGGCGTATAGGGACCGCGGTGAGAGACCACCCCCTGCGCACCCCCTGTGGTGTCGAGAAAGTGCCACGCCTGCTAGGCTTTGCGCCAGTGTCGTGGATAGCGGCCGAGCTGAGAGACCACCCCCTGCCCACCCCCTTTGGTGTCGAGAGAGTGCCACGCTTGCCAGGCTTTGCGCCAGTGTCGTGGATAGCGGCCGAGCTGAGAGACCAACCCCTGCGCACCCCCTGTGGTGTCGAGAAAGTGCCACGAGCTGTGCTGTGTCGTGCTGAGCTGAGCCGTGCTGGGCTGTGCTGAGCTGTGCTGAGCTGTGTTGTGTGCTGAGCTGAGCTGAGCTGTGTGCTGAGCTGTGCTGAGCTGAGCTGAGCTGAGCTGTGCTGTACGAAGAGTGATGTGTGTGTGTGTGTGAGTGAGTGAGTGAGTGAGTGAGTGAGTGTGGGTGAGTGTGTGAGTGTCGCGGGTGCGGCGCGGCAGGGAAGAAAACCAGAACCCCACGAAACATGTGGGGAAAAAACCAGGTTTGCCGTAGCTGGTGTTTTTCGGGCGACGGCAGCTCCGATTCGTGGAGATGGGACGGGGGGGCCGCCCCCGGTACAAAGCACTGAACCAGGTTCCACGAAACCCAGCTGTGCCAACGCCCGAGACAGGCGCGCATGCGGCAGTCGGAGCGGCGGCAGACGCAGGAGGACGTGCGCTCCCACCCGTTCGAGATGGGCCTGGCGCGGCGCAGCGCCTTCCCGTGTGGCCAGAAGTGCGTACCTGGCCCAGGGTGCCCCCCGGATTCTTTTTTCAACGGGGCCCCCACGGCTTCCAGAGCACCCCGCACGAGGCGCGGGGGGGCCCCGGGAGCTCCAGGATGGAGCGAACAAAAAGCTGGGGGGCCCCTTCTGCCAGGGGCACCTCGGGCAACCCCGGGCACCTCGGAGACGAGAGCACGACACAGACATGCACTGCTGGAGGTCCGCGCGGACTTTTCGGATCGGCGCTAGGCCCCCCTCCCTGGCGCGCGGAGCACGCCAGGGGCGGCGCCGGAGGCGCCGCTGGGGGGGTCCAGCGCGGTTCCGAGAAACCCGCGCGGAGCGCCAAAAGTTCATGTTCATGGCGTGTTCTTCTTCGAGAGCAGGAGGGGAGGGGGAGCCAGGAGGAGCCAGGAGGACGAGGAGGGAGGGGGGAGGTCTGCGGATGGAGCGTGAGGGGCAGGGATGCGGCGGATGGTGGCGGCGGAGGGAGGCAGCGCAGATCCAAGACATCCGCGCGGAGTTCAGACAGCTTCTGCCTGTGTGCAGCCGTTGGCTCCTCCAGGTGCGGCGCCTCATCGAGGGCCGCTACGCCGCCCGGGGCTCCAACCACGGCGCCCCCGTCTGGCGCAAGGCCAAGGCCGGGGACGTCGACGTCGATACCACGGTGTACTTCTGGGACGACAGGCCCGCGGCGCACGCAGGGGGGGGGGCATGCAGGAGAGGGCGCTCGGGCCGGACGAAAGGGGGGGATTGGGAAAGGGTGGGTTATGAAATTTGCTGCATGCAGCTGGTTTCGGCCCCACCGAGGGGCCCATTCCTCGATACATAGCCGCCTCCGGCGCCAGGAGGTGCCGGGTTTATCAGCTACGAGAGCTGATTCTCAAACCCCCCCTTTGCTATCCCCCCCTTTCGCCCGACCCGAGGGGCGATCTAGATCAGAGGAGCAAGAGTCCTCGCGCAGAGGGGGGCAGGGGGAAAGGGAAGGCTTCTTAGGAGCATCCCTGCTTCCTAGAAGGCGCGGGCCTTGTCTGTAGTTAGTTGTGAGGCCAGCGCCTTCTCAGAAGCAGCCTCCTCCAAAAAAGCCGTCCCCCTCCATCCCCCTCCCCTGTGCGCGCCGTCAGAAGAGTTCACGAGGATGACTCGGGCATGCCCGCGCCGCGGCAAAAAATCACGATGGCAGGTGTTGGCCGTGTTCGGCCGCCAGGGCAGGGCTCTCGCCAGGCCCCGGTGCCGTCCAATCCTGTCATGACGTCATCCCCGTCCTGTAGTCGGGAGCGGAAAAGAGGGGGGTGATGACTAGGGGGGGTGGATATCATGGCGGGGGCCATGATATTTCCCCAGATTTCATGGCGCCTGTTCTTACTTCATTACGTCCTTGGGCACCCCGCTGGGCCGCGCACATGCCGCCGGTCATGATTTGCACCCCTCCCTCTTGGACACCCCCCTCTTGGCCGCTCCCAGAACGTCATCCCCGTCCTGTAGGGGAGGCAGGGAGGCCGCCAGTCTTGGAAGGAGGGCGGGGCTTCTCAGAGGCCCTCCTGCCTTGCAGCCCTCAGAGTTTCGTGACAGAAGTCAAGACGGGATAAGTAGGTGTTGGGAGTTATCGCCCTGTCTCGCACAGGGCTCTTTGTCGCCCTTGTCTCGGGTGCCGTGGCCCTCCTCACGGATCGGTGTGGCCCGAAAAGTGGAGCAGAAAGGTGGGGCCCAGGGTTCGGGCCGTCGATGTTGCATGTGTTCGTGACGTTAAGTCGAGCGTGTGCCTCTACAGAAGGAATATTCAGAAATAGTCAAGCAACAGTATGGGGACGATGTTTTAACTATTCTTGAATGTGTTTGAGTATGTTTGGGTTTGTGTTGTATCTTTCGTCCAAAATCCACCTGTAGGGGGACACGCCCGCCCTAATCGTGACGTCGGGCATGAGGAAGGGGCCAGATTGTTCACCACCTAATTATACCAAATCGCCCCAACCCGTCACGACAGCCACAGACTGCTCTCGATTCCCCGCGAGGGGGCATCCCAGAACATAGAATTAAGTCGGACGTGTCCCTCTACAGGGGGAATATTTCAAAATAGGCAAAAAATAGTCTGGGGACGAATTTTTGACTTTTTGGCTACTTTTGAATACGTTTTGCGTATGTTTTAGTTTTTCGTTTAAGATTCCCCTGTAGGGGACGTGCCCGACCTAAACATAGAAGCATGCACACGGAACCCGCACCCACCGCAACCCGAAATGTGGGTATTCGGGCTGGGTTTGGGTGGTCTGGTAGGTCGGCGGCAATCTTCCTTGGAAGGTGAGAGGGGCTTCTGACAATCCGCGCCGTCGGAGATGGCCGCCGCCCCCCCCCACCTCTGCCCTCGAGAGTGTTCTTTTGTTATATATATATATATATATATATATATATACATTATATATATATATATATATATATGTATATGTGTGAAGGAGCGTGTTCTACCGCTGCTGGCGGAAAATCAGGGGGGGGTCACTGAGGGTTCCCAACCCGTCCCCCCCCTCGAAAACAGGGGGGGAGGTCACTACCGGTTCGAGCCCCTCCCCCCTCCCCCGAGTCCATCATAAAAAGGGGGGGTCACTACCGGTTCTACCCCCCCCCCCTCGAACACGGGGGGGGGTCATTATCGGTTCGACCCTCCCCCTCTCGCCGCCGGCAAACGATTCCCGCTCCTCGGGACAGTTGGACAATGGTGGGGATACTGGGAAAGTGGTGGGAACGGTGGTGGTGGGGATAGTGTTGCGGAGAGAGTGGGACAGTGGTGCGGCCAGTGGTGGGGACGGTGGTGGTGGGGACAGTGGTGCGGGAACAGTGGGACAGTGGTGGGGACGGTGGTGGTGGGGACAGTGGTGAGGGGACAGCGGGACAGTAGTGGGGACAGTGGGATAGTGGTGAGGACGGTAGTGGTGGAGACAGTGGTGAAGGCGGTGGTGAGGCCAGTGGTGGGACAGTAGTACAGCGGAGAGAGTGGTGGGGACAGTGGTGGGAATGTGGGACAGTGGTGGGGACAGTGGGGACGGTGGGACAGCACAGTGGGACAGCGGCGGGGACAGTAGGACAGTGTTGGATGCAGTGCGGACAGTGGGGCCATCGTGGGGACCGTGGGGAAAGTGGGGAGAGTGGGACCGTGGTGGGACAATGGTGGGGAGAGTGGGGACAGTGAGACACTGGTGGGGGCACTGGTGGAGACAGCGGTGACAATGGTGAGAACAGTGGGACAGTGGTGGGGACTGTGGGACTGGTGGGGACGGTGGTGGTGGGGACAGTTGTGTGGGGACAGTGGGAATGTGGTGGGGACAGTGGGACAGTGGTGGGGACAGTGGTGGTGGGGACAGAGGTGAGGGCGGTGGCGAGGACGGCGGTGGGACAATGGGACAGAGGTACAGTGGGGACAGTGGTGGGGACAGTGGGGACAGTGGTGGGGACAGTGGGACAGCGGCGGGGATAGTGGGACAGCGGCACAGTGGGGACAGTGGGACAGTGGTTGGGGCCGTGGGGAAAGTGGGGAGAGTGGGACCGTGGTGGGAACAGAGGTGGGGACAGTGGGGACAGTGCGACAGTGGTGGGGGCACTGGTTGGGACAGCGGGGACAGTGGTGGGAACAGTGGGGACAGTGGTCGTGACACAGTAGTGCTGGGGACAGCAGTGGGGGATGTGGTGCGGACGGTGGTAGGGACCTGGGAGTCGTTTGCCGGCGGTGAGCGTGGGGGGGGGCATCGAATTGGTAGTGACCCCCCCGGGTTTTCTGGAGGGGGGGTAGTGAACCCCCCCCTCGGTTATCTGCGGGGGAGGGGTTCGAACCGGTATAGTGACCCCCTCCCGGCTTTCCGGAGGGGGGGGGGCGGGGGTTCGAACCGGTATAGTGACCCCCCCCTTGGTTTTCCGGAGGGGGGCGGGGGGAGGGGGGGTTCGGACTGGTAGTGGCCCCAGTTTTCCGGAAGGGGGGGGGTTCGAACCGGTAGTGACCCCCCCCGGTTTTCCGGAGGGGGGGAGCGGTGTGTGTGTGTGTGTGTGTGTGTGTGTGTGTGTGTGCCGGGGGGGCAGAAGGGAGGGGTGCATCAGTGGGGGGGATTTTCTTAGGGGGGGAGGCGAGAGGGGGGGAATTTTCCACAGTAACGCGGCAGTGGATCACTCTCTCTCTCATATATATATATATATATATATATATATAATATCTTATGGTTTATATTTTAACATACCCCCCGGCCAGAACTGGCGTGGCCCGTGGTCAGAAACTGACCTGGGGTGAAGAAGTGCACCACGTGGACTTCGGAAAAAGTCCAGGGAGTGATTTCAGCGATAACTGGCGATAACTGGCATGACCTGGCGATCCCCTGGCGATAACAGGGAGTGTTTTCTATCCCCTGGCCCTAACAGGCGTGACCCCGGGACAAAAACTGATCTGGGGTGAAGAATTGCACCAGATGGACCTTCGGATTTCTTCCGATCCCCCTTTCTGATGTACTCCAGAGTTCATAATAAAAGGGAGGGGGTCTCAACCCTCCCAGACGAGAAATTTTAGACCCTCCCAGACCATCCATGAAAGGGCGGCCCTTTGCCCAGACCCCCCCGAACCCTCCAAGACAGCTCAAATCAGACCCCCCCCCAAATGTGACCCCCCCGGCTTTATTATGGAATCCGGAGTAAGTATTTGTTTTCGGGGCCCATCCAGTTCAGAGCCCAAGGCCGCCTCAAATAGACCCTTGCCTCGTTTGGGCCTTTGTTCCTGGAGGCAGTTTTGTCCATCTCCTGGCGATGCCGGGGCGTCATTGGGGGGGAGGGGAGACGAGAGGAGGGGGCCGGGCCGGTAACGTCACGATTCGCGCCGGCGACGCCTGGGAATGCCGAACAGACGGGTTACTTTCCAGACTGCGCCGGCGCGAATCGTGACGTGACCATCGGTTTCAGGGGGCGGTGGCCAGGACCTGAAAATCGGGCGCTCTGGGTTCCTTGGCAGTTGATTCGGATGGGTCGGGCATGTCGCCGTTCTTATTAGCTAGTTCTCCCAGCTTGTTGGTGTTTCCCAGACCTCCTGTGGATCCATGGGTCGTCGCTCGCAGGGCTTAGGCGACCACTCTTCCTCCTCCTCCTCCTCCTCCTCCTCCTTCTCCTCCTCCTCCTCCTCCTCCTCAGCCTCCTCCTCCCTACTCTTCCTCCTCCTCCTCCTCCTCCTCCTCCTCGTCTTCCTCCTCCTCCTCTCCTCCTCCTCCTCCTCCGCCTCCTCCTCCTCCGCCTCCTCCTCCTCCTCCTCCTCCTCCTCCTCCACCCTTCTCCTCATCGCATTCCTCTCCCTCATCATCTTCGTCCTCGTCTTCCCCCTCCCCCTCCTCCTCCATCTCTTCCCCCTCCCCCTCCTCCTCCCCCCCTCCTCCTCCTTCTCCTCCTCCTTTTCCTCCTCCTCCTCCTCCTCCCCTCCGTAGCCATTTTGGCTCAAGTCCGTAGCGTTTCGCTCTGGACAGGAGTCTACTGGCGTGGGGGAGGCGCGCCCCCGCCCGTGATCCTGCACCAGTTTTTGCTGGTTCTGATTCCTTGTGAGCTCCTGGTGGAGCACTCTTCTTAACACGGCGTACCTTTCGAGTCCCCGCAGGATCTGCCTCCTGTTGCTCGCCCCATGGTTCCTCCCGCGGCCGCTGCTGTCAGGCCTCCATGGAGGAAGTCTGCTCCCCCGCCCT